GGATTCGAACTGCTGACCTTTTGGTTAGCAGCCAAACTCTTAACCACTGGGCCACCAGAGAGAGATTATGTCCCAATCACTTCCCTCTCTCTTGGCTGACGGAAAGAAAAAAACAAAAACCCCGCTGGACGGATGATAGGAAAGAGAAGGAGGAAGAAGGTTATCTCTTCTCTCCATCTTAGATCTTGTCTGTCACCCTTCCAAAGGAAGGATATCGAGTGGCCCTTTGCCCACGACACCCCATACTGCTGGGATAACCCCACTTACAGATTTTCCTGCCACTCTAAGTACTTTTTCTCTTTCCCTGAGACAGTCAAGCAGTAGTAGCTCCTTTTCAATTTGACCATTTTAGCTACAACTGAGTGTAGTTTTTTCTGTTTACAAAATGTTAGGAATTAATTTTTAACAACATGCTGTGTGGCTTACTCCAAAACTATTCAAGAAAAGATCTCGAAGTTATAAAATCTATTCCTGCGACATTTTGCATAGATCATTGGTAGCGAATTTGTAGCTGCATCATCCTTTCCTCTCGCCGTCTGTGAGAAACTTAATTTCATCTTATTTGCCTTTTTTTGTTTTGTTTTTTAATAATTTAACATTTTATTGTATTTTTGGTGAAAACACACAGCAAAACACACTCCCATTGAATCATTTCTACACATAATGTTCAATGACATTGGTTGCATTCTTCACATTGTATCGACATTCTCATTATTGCCATTCTGTTTGTTCCACTCCCATTAACTTAGTCTCACTGTCCCCCAAGCTTCTCATCTGTGCATTAGAGTAACTGTTGCCCTTTTACTTTCATATAGATAATTTTTTAAAACAGTTCAGTACTCAAGGGCACCATGCTTTACTTTTTGAGCTAACCTGCTATTTAGTTCAAAGGTGACTTCAAGGGATGAATTGCTTGGTTTTTTAAGATATTTGAACACTGCGAACGTTGAAAGGTTATAATTAGGTGAATGCCGTTGACAAAATAGGCTTTTCCCGTGATTACAGCCATGTGATTACTTGATTACAATCACTTACTTTTTTTTTTTTTTTTTAAACATTTAATCATTTACCTGGTACATTCCAGAGTGTTCCTTGTCTGTGTCTTCGGTCTTTTGCCCTCATCTTCAGTGCCTTTGTTCCTTTTTCCCTCCCATAGATTGTCTCTGGTCAAAATGTGTGTCCTGGCAACAGCACGGGAAGCCCATGTATTGAAGTGGACGTCCTGGGCATGCCCCTGGACAGCTGCCATTTCCGCACGAAGCCCATCCACCGAAACACTCTGAACCCCATGTGGAACGAACAGTTTCTCTTCCGGGT